TCTCTTGAAAAATAGGAAGAAGACCTTGCATGTAATGTGCCCGCTGCATATATCAGTCAGGGCACAATTTGGCTACGTTAGTGTGTTAGAACATGCGGAATATCTCACCAGAGGAATTATATTTCGTGATGAATATGCATTTAAAATGGCTTAAGACATAATGCCTGAAGACATCTGGCGAAACAGACTAACTATGAAACCAGAAAAGTGAAAAATATACGAATAGTCAAGTCAGCTCCAAGACACCATGGTTTATTAAACTGATGTACTAATTCACATCCTATATTTTCATTTGAACTCATATTCGTGGCACTTAACGGAAGGAAAACGCGATGATGTTCCTTCAGTGACAGCAGATAGTACAAATGCACATATTAATGTTAGTTGCTTTACTTTACATTCCGAATAGTGTTTGCTACCGTTTTTACAAGCAAGAGTAAATAATCTTATTAATTACTCTCGTTACAATGATAATATAGAAGTTATAACATTCTCTTTCACCCAACCGTTAACTATTCCACATCAACCACGTTTTTAAACTAAAACGGCACTATATCTCCCATGTAGCAATACGGTGTTACCGATACTGTGTATCTAGTAACGGTCTAGCACTATAAGTACGCAATAAACACATCACCTAGAGGTAACTGGCTAGTGTAGTAGTATATGCACGCCCTCTGCAGCCAATGTTGCGACCACATACGGTAATCATCTTTGTCTTATATACACTTTGCACGAATACACTCGTCAGAAATGTTGTTACCTTTCGCTTTGGCTATGGGTAGGACTAGGAGGCACAATATAGAAACATCATCTAACAGTAGTGGATAGCCATGGTCCGGGAAAGTGGTACAGGTAACCCCATGGCGCAATCCACATACAATCAAGAGTTAATAATACTTTTATTATGAGGTATTATAGGCTATTAATAGCTCTTGAGGTAACCGAGGTAATGAGGTATGCGGTAAAAAGGTATACCTCTTGAGGTATTATTAGCTATTGATAAAATGCATAAATTGGTAAAAAGAAATTACTCATTAAATCTAGCTTGAAAGACTTTGTCGAGATATACAGGAAGATGATACATAGAGACAGTTCGCATTCAATCACTGATGATGACGGTAAGTATCGCTTGGTATCGCTGATAGGGTCTATGTCCACCAGGGTACTGCCGAAACGTACCCTGGTACTAAATACTACTATCTAATATGCCGGACCGTACCTCGCCTACTCCACTAACGAGTCTATAGGGAGTCGCCTACGCCTACTCCCTAACCCTAACCATAACTCTAACCCTAACCTTAACCATATCAGCTAGATAGTTACCAGGGTACGTTCCGGCAGTACCATGGGGGACATAGACCCTATCAGCGTGAGTATCAGTGTACAGCCACACGCGTTTTCGTGCTGCGTGTTCACGTTGCGCGCGTGCGTGTACGTATTTGCGCGTCTATACACCGTGCGTTCGTGACGCATGTTCACGGTACGTGCGTGTTTATTTGAGTGCGTCTGTAATGTGCGTGCGTGCGTGCGTGCGTGTGTGCATACATGTATGCATGCGTGTGTGTACGTATTTGCGTGCGCCTGTAATGTGGGTTCGTGATGCGTGTTCACAGTGCGTGCGTGCGTGTATTTATTTGCGTGTGCACGTTTGTAGCAGTGCTACGCGATTTAAGCGGAAAAAGAAATTCGGCGAATGCAAAACCTTCAGGTAGTGAGAACCAATCCGTGTCAACGAAACGATCCAGGGGCGATCTGCCGGAGAAGAACAGGTTAGGATGACGGTGTGTGTGGTGGTGTGTGTGTGTGCGTGCGTGCGTGCATGCCGTCATTGCGCTGTGGCGTGTGTGAGGGTGTGGCGTAAGATGCGGTGTGCGTAAGCCATGAGTGGAGGATGAACGCGCACGCACGCACGCACCCACGCCGCACACACCTCACAACCCACACCACACCCACCCACAATGCACACTGTCCGCCCCCCCCAAGACGCCCCCTCCCCACGATGCGCTTATCACCACAGCACTCTACTCCCGCTACCGGACTCGCTGGACGGCGGCGTTTGGGCTCGTCGACGCGCAGCATCATGCATGTACGCGGACACCGCCGTGCTCGCGACGCCTGCGCCGCTCAAGCGCGCCGCCGACCTCGCCGAGAACCAGAGCGGCGACGACAGCCCGCAGGATCGGTGTTCCGCCGATTGTTCGGACAGCGTGATGGAAGAGGTGGAGGCGCGCGCGAAGCCGTACGGCATGCACGCGTCACACGCCTGCCGGACGGCGAGCGGCGCGTTGCATGCAGCGCGCCGCAGGACTCACGACCTCCGAGCAGCGCAGCAGCCCGCCGTACGTCGCGGCCGACACCCGCCTCGCCATCTTTCGCCGCCGCCGCCCGCAACGCATCTCAACTTCCTTCTCCGCCGGCTGCGCGAGACCCTTTATCGAGTGCGCGCGAGCGGCGTCTCTCCTCCTCCGCGTCGGCTGAACGGCGCGGGGCCGGGAGG